TCTATATAACATCCAGATAGTTATCAGACATTTCTTAAGAAAAAACTTAATATTTTATCTGTTATTTTCAGTAAGGAATCTCTGTACAGGTTTGGTAGATTTCACCGATCTCATAAACACCATAAAAAATATTAGGAAATAAATATAAATTATGCCTCTTTTATTCTAGAATGAACACAAATTATCACATGAGGAATATAATAAAAATAATAAATATATATAAATGTATAATGTTATGAGATTTAAGCTATTTAGTCTAAACATTTATGTTTGACCTTTCACCCATGCCTGGCTAACAATACAGAAGTTACAATGATGCAGTACATGCGCACTCATGTTACTGTATCCAATAATTTAAAACTGACCTATAAGTCTTTACAAACTGACCTGTCTTGGCTGTGTTTTAGTAGACTAGTATTTTGTAAAATACAGTCACATTTCAATTATCATACATTATATATGCATATAACAATAAATAAAGAAGTAGAGCAAACAATTATTTCTTCTAGTTACGACCTCTGTACTCAGTTGCTGCTTGATGTAGGTTGGCAAGCCTTTTAAAATTTCACACATGGAGGATATGAAATGAAATTGTTTTTTTTCAGCTTTTATATATTCAGTTGAATAACCAAAAAAAAATCACATATTACTATATCGATACCACAGAATTCCACTATAATTTATCAAGCTTAGTAACTAAGCTGTATTTCGGTCTAAAAAATATGAAATTTCAAGCAGACTAAAGACATAACCTACCTCCTTGAAATCTTAGGTTGAAAGAACGAGATAGCATCCTCACACTTTAGAATGGCTGAGAAAGCTACTAGATAGACATTCTAAGCTTTCGATTGGTTATTCACGTCATATACTGAAGTAAGTGTATATAAGGGACTGTTTCCAAAAATGGAAAGAGGTGAGCCAGGCCATTGTATTTGATTCAGTATATGACTTTTTATGAGTAATATCTCAGCAAACAGAAAAGATACAAGGTTCTTATTTTATATTCTAGCTTATCGATATTGGTAATTTTAGTTCCTAATTCATACAAAACTATAGACTTAGTATTTTGACATCAGAAACATCTAATTTGAACCAGCGCTGCATTCAACATACCAAAAATCTGTTTAACTGTATTTTTTAACATTTACTTTTAAATTAAGAAATTGAATAATGTATAATACTAAAATTTGAATTTATTTCACAGTTTGATTCCAAAATTATTAACATAAATTCATGAAATAGTAGTTCAATAAAATTTTGAATGCAAGTCAACAAATGTGATGACATGGCCTTTGATCTGTGACCCATCTGGAAAGGTTTAATAATATTTCCCTCCCACCCACAGATTTATTTTATTTTTTTTTATATACCAAGTCTTTTCTGAGGCACCTTATCAAACACTTTCTGAAAAATCAAGGTAAACCAAATCCATAGTATTTCCTTCATAAACATTTGTGCTTGGAACCAATTGTTTAACCTAAACCCAAACCCATCCTTGCCCCTAAATACATTATTTTCCAAGCTTTTAGTCCTATTTCCTTTCTTAGCTCCCTTGAAATCTCATTTGCCCTTTGGGTGTAGAAGTTTAAGTTCTTCACTAAGCCTCGTCACCACTTCAACCAATTTACATTTCTCTTTTTCCACCTCTGCAACTTTACCAGAAAACCTTCCAACTTCTTCTCTAACCTGCAAATAAACTGTACATCCTGGCTACTAGCCTCCCTAAAAGTACACTTTAACCCAGAGTTTATTAATAAAACACTCTACTGGCATCTATCATATTTTATCAATTGAGAACCCTTGGTAGCTAGAATATTCTTAACCATAACTGTTAATTATATTAACTGTAATTTTAAGTGTAAAGTGTAATGAAGTTAAGATTATATTTAACGTGCTATTACTAGTATTACTAATATAATAGGTTATAAATATTATAAGCACACTCCTGGCTTTAACCAAAATTTAATGTTAAGGTTAATGATAACATAATAGTAAACAGGTAACTATGTGTAATTCTAGTCCAATTTAAACTTAATGTAAATAACATTTTACTTTAAATATCAATACTTATCGTAAATTAACTTTATCTATTACTATACAACTTTCAAATTTTATATAAAATAAATGCCGTATCAGTTCATAAAAAAACCTGTCTCTAAAATTTAACTTAAAGCCTAACACTAATAGTAAAAGTAAACGAGAAACTATGTCAGTATGTGTAAATGTAATCCAATTTAATCTTAATTTAAATACACGTTTTGTTGAAAATATCAACACTTATCACCAATTAACTTTATGATATCCATTTCTAAACTTTTGAATGATACCTATTAAACTTATTTAACTAAATGCCTTCTCTTTTTTTCACTGCTGCAAAAAACTTCCTATCCCAGTCAATTGCCAATAATTTATAAGTTATAGTAGAATGAAGATTTGTAAAATATACTTTAAAAAGTTAAAACTTCTATTAGTACTGCTAATTTAGTAATTGTGATAGTATTAATACTAGTAGTAGCTCACCCCATTTTTCTACTCTGCCTCCTTTTAGCTTTTCTGGTAAACGCATTTTTTCTTCTATATATACCTTTAAACGAAGAATATTGTCTTGAAACCTTTCCTTTAGGCCTATAACATTTTTACTACTAATAAAGTTAAATTTATACTGGTCATAATTCTTTGATCCTTTTAACTTTGAGAAGCTTGAGAAATTATGGCGTAGTCCTAACTGCCATAATTTCGCTGCTGATCGACACAACATTGTTTACACAATACCTTAAACTTAAACGAACAAAAAACTAATAGAAGTAATATAGCTTTTGGTTCACACAGTATTTACAAAACCATTTATACTCTTCTAACAAAAAAATGGTAGTTTCCATTACACAGTTCTAAGAAATATATAAACTATAGACTTCCAGCTATTTGCATCAGTATTACTGCCAGCCCTATGTTTCAACTACTGAATTTACAACGTTTTAAGTAACAGGATAGCATAACTCATATTGTAACTAAATATTATTTTTAATTCTAGCGTTGTGCATATAAGTCCTGGAAAATCGACTAGTAATCTTGAATTAAGCTCTGAAGTTATAGAATATATTGGAAACACTTGTTAATATAAATTTAGAGCACTTTCTCTGTTTACTATAAATTAAACTTCTATTTGGTTCATTTCTATCACCAAATATTAAAATATGAATTCAAAAACTCAGTACAAAATACAAAACAGCATATCAAATGGTCGTAAATACTACAGATAGCTATTTTTAGCCTTAGTTGCAAGTATTGTTAAACTTCCAATAAAATGTGTTCATACAAGAAGGAAAAATAACATATTCTCTAACGAACTTCAAAGTACGCCCGGCATGACCAGGTGGTTAGGGAGCTCGACTCACAATGTGCGGGTCTCGGGTTCGAATCCCCGTCTCACCAAACATGCTCGACCTTTCAGCAGTGGGGGTGTTAGAATGTGACGTTGGTAAAAGAGTAGCCCAAGAGTTGGCGGTGGGTGGTGACGACTAGCTGCTTTCATTCTAGTCTTACATTGCTAAATTAGGGACGGCTAGCGCAGATAGCCCTTGTGTAGCTTTGCGCGAAATTCAAACCAACCAACCTGTGGGATTATTGATTGGATGTAAGTACTTTCGTGGAGAATAAAGGTGTCATCATTCAACTTTAAACACAACAAAATTTGAGATAAGTCTGAATGGGACATTGTAAGAAGCTGTAATAAATTAGTAATTTGGCATAAAAAAAAAATCAGAAGTAGTCACCTTTGGGAAATCTGATGTCAAATTCCCACATATAGACAACTTATAACCTCACAAGAGCTGTGGAGGTCTTACAGATGATCTATGCTAGAAATTACATGACATGCTCATAGAATATCAAGATACTTTCTCAAGTGGACCTCATAAGATTGATACTGGAGATGCAGCCCAATATATCTGTTAACCAGATGACTTCCACTTTCCAAATACTCGTTAACCCATTCAATTTCCTCCACCACTGAACCCCATCTCCCTTTTTCATCTGAAGGAAGTGGTTTTAGATTAGATGCACAAACAAGCTGTTGAGAGGGTTTATGACCCTCTTTCTGGATTTTACTCTCGTTTTTTTGTGGTCCCCCAAAAAAGATCAAACTGGCATTCAGTCATCAATTTCTCCTGTCTCAACCACTTCCACACAATTTTATATGTAAAATTTATTTTCCCTTTGTTGGACTTTTTCTCTCAGATTATGGATGACCAATTTTTGTGTCGCAACCTTTCTTAATATTCCCATGGCAGAATCCTCCACATGCTTCTTCTGCTTCATCAATTGAGCTGTATTTTCTAGTTTTGTGCATTACCATTTGGCATTGCATTGCCTCCCTACATTTTCAGTCTCGTCTTCAGAGCCTTTGCTAAACATCTCTATCAACTGGACCTACAGTTCCATTATTACATAGACAATTGGCTTCTTCTGTCACACTCACGGGAAGAGTCTGACAGTCATACCTCCATTCTTCTGAGGAAGGTAGCCCACCTCGTGTGGATTGATAAAACCTCTAAATCCTTTCTCACTTCAACCAATATCTTGTCTAAATGAATGTTTTCTTTAATACATTCCTCAGTCATGCACAGCCTTCTCCTCTTCATTTACAAGCTCTGAAACTTTCGATCACCAGAATATGAGCCTCTCATACTCATACTGCTCGAGAGGTTCTATCGCTTTGGGGACCATGGCTTCATTAGAAACACTTATCCCTCTAGGTCGAGCTCATATGCATCTTCTCCAGTGGTCTTTATGAGACCAGTGTAACCTCTTAAGGACCCTTTGACCTCACTGGTTCATCTGTCTCCTCCTCTGCTCAAGGAACTTTTGTGGTGGTTAGATTGATCAAATACCACTGTCGAGGTTCCCTTACCTCCACCCAAATTGAACCTACACATCTTCACAGATGCTTCTCTTACTGGTTGGGGTGCATATTTGATGACAATCTTAGGTCAGATATGTGAACCCAGCATGAGCAATCCCTCCACATCAATGGGTTTGAACTTTGGGCTGTCCACTGGGCATGCTTTCATTTCTTACCTATTCCAGTGGTATATTTTATTAGAATCCATTCCGACCATTTCACTGTGGTTTCATATATCAATCATCAAAGGGGTACCAGATCTCAGACACTTTATTTTCAAACTCTCGATCTCCTTTATTGGATCTGCTTAATAGCTCACCATGTCCCAGCAGCAATGATCCTTATTACAGACCATCTTTCCCAGCCAGATCATGTTCTGCCTACCAAATGGTTGTATACTCTCTTTTGGACACTCTACTCATTGATGCCTTTGCCATACATCTCAATGCCAAGGTACACCTTTTTTGGTGCCCTGTTTTCCATTCTTCAGATTTGACTATTGATACATTCAGTTAGGATGGATCTCACTTTTTCTTGTATGTATACCTACCTCTTGGTTTTTTATCATTCCTTTTCTTGTCCTTCTGGTAGCACATTTCTGGCCAGCTAAGTCTTGGTTCTCTCTTTTATGGCATTTGTCTAGCCATTCACCCCTTCCTCTGCCTCCCAAGCTGTTCCTAATACTACAACTTCACACATCACTGTTCCAACCAGGGATCTCATCCCTCCACCTTCACGTTTGGGAATTGTATGGTCCATGGTTCATATGGCCAGACTTTTCCATTGGATAGCTTTCTTACTTTTACATTAATGTCGTCCTTCTATGTTATCCATCTACTAGCATACTTGGTCCATCTGTCCTCACCTTCCCCTAGATTGTTCTAACTTCAGCAACCTATCATCCATTTTTACTTGGCTCTTTGATCAAGGTTTGGCTGTATCCATTAGAGTTGGGGATCGAGCAGCCTTGTGTAAAATGTTTTACATTTCTCAATACTGTGGAGTGTTTTCCTCCCATATTCTTTTTTACATTGTTCTGATCCTTCTTTATCCATAGACCTCCTCATCATATCCCTCTGCCTGACTGTGATCTTAATGTTGTCCTACACACTTGAACTTGGGCCCCTTTCAAGCCATTGGCGACATGCAGCCTCTATTATCTTTCTCCTGAGACCTACTTTATTTTACTTCCCCCATGTAATTGCTGTTGTTCAGATATTCACACTACTGATTCTTCCCTTATTATTTTCAATCATACATATATTATGCTTTATCATGATAGAAATTCATTCCTAAGACTTCAGCAGCTTGGGAAGGTGACCACTCCTGTTCACTTATCTCCTTTCCTTCTATCTTTCACTTATATAATCGTTCAGACCCAATTTCGTTCAAATTCAATTTCCTTTACAGCTATTAGATTCTTCCAGGTGGTTGGTGTTACCTCTCAGGGTACAGTTATTTCCAAAATCTGCATCGAGCCAGAATAATGAAAAGTCCTCATATCATCTGCCCTGGCTCATTATGTGCCTATTGTGAGATGGGGTGTTCTGCAAGACCACTAGAGGTATCCTCATGACATCTCGATTTTGTCCAATCCACTCCATACCTATTCCATGGAATATTATGAAAAAAAGCACCAGGCGCATGCTCTGCTGGTTTCACTGGCTCATGCTTGCTGGCTTTTCAAAATAGGGATACTTGACCACCTGTTACATTGTATCAGGTAAAGGACCCGTCCAACTAAAGCCCTGGCATTTTTTCTGGGCTCCTCATTGCAAATTTCTCCCCTTTTCTCAAATGGAGTATGGGAAACCCATATCATTTATCAGTTCCTAACCAATGTGGTGGTGGAACTTGGAGAATCCTCACCATTTGGGACCTACCCACTGAGTCTAAATAAGGAGTACCAATTGGTAGGAATGTGGCAGTAGTGACATTGTCACTGTAGGACAGGTAATCCTCATACACTTATGTTTCAGAGTTAAGTTGAAAATGCACATCACATTATAAGTACCTTCCTCCTGCAGCAATTGACTGTCCAGTAGAGTAGGGATACATATGCTTCAAGTTGGGACCTCCTCATCCTATCACCACCTGGATGTTGGTTCCCAGTGCCACCAGGTTTTGTATTAGTGATCCACCACATTGCATTCCTTCTTCCTTTCATCACCCGGATGTTAGGTTCCTAGGTTGCCTGTTTTTAGTTGTGTACCAGCTCTGCACACATGTGCCCTGATTTATTTATATATACCAGTATCAGTTGCCCTCCTCCCACAGCTGGTTGTTCTTGTTCAGTCAAATTATATTAATGCGATTTCTGTTGGTTAAACTTGCAGTAGTGCCTACATAGATATACATAATCTTATTATTTCCTGCAAGTTAAATATATTGAGAAACTAGCGTATAGTCCGTCAAATATGACGTGGCAAGTACTACCACCCCACCCCATAGTATACCTTAACCTCACATTTCATAGCTAACTGAAACAAATAAATTTTGCGAAATCAAGCTTGACCAACAAAGAGGCAGAAAAGTGCAGTCACGTCGGTAAATTCCTTTGTGGGCCAATCAGAATTAAAATCGTTCATGAAATGAATTCGCGGCGAATTCATAGAAAAAAATATTAGTGAAAACCAGTTAGATTAATAACTTCTAATATATAGAAAAGCCATTGTGTTTTGGTAACACTACTTTCCAACAATGGCTTTTATGTCATGTTGCTCAGCAATAAAAGTATAACCTAATATTTTGAGAGATTGTTTAGGCACAGTATTCATGATGAAACTGATCGCTTTTGGAAGGATATTTAATTACCATTCAAGACGCAAGATATTCATATAGGTAATACATATAAACGTGTTCAGACAATGAATTTAGAATTTCAAAGAAGGAGGTATCTTTCTACGTAACACGGCATCGGAAAACAAAGTAATATGGATCAACTTAGGGCATCATGGTCATCCAAAAAGAGACCCAAAACAAGTCGTACCACTGCCATGGCAAGCAAAACGTGACATTTTGTAACACATGAAACTTCATAAATACAAAGGT